GTCCTGCTGGCCGCACGCCTCTTGATGCACCCCAGGATCCCATTGGCCCTCTTGGCAGCCAGGGCACACTGCTGGCTCATGGTTAACCTGTCGTCCACCAGGACACCCAGGTCCCTCTCCGCAGAGCTGCACTCCAGCAGGTCCACCCCAAGCCTGTACTGGTGCATGGGGTTATTCCTCCCCAGGTGCAGGACCCTGCATTTGCCTTTGTTGAACCTCATCAGGTTCCTCTCTGCCCAGCTTTCCAGCCTATCCAGGTCACGCTGAATGGCAGCACAGCCTTCTGGTGTGTCGACCACACCTCCCAGTTTGGTGTCAGCAGCAAACTTGCTGAGGGTACATTCTAACTCTTCATCCAGGTCGTAACCACACATCCAAGATAAAATAGCCATCATGGCAAGGCAAGGCACCAATGCTCACTCTCTTTGGCAGAAGGAGGAAGGACAAAGACCCTCCAGCCCTCCTGGGAAGCCCCCGTGCTCCATCCAGACAACATCTGAGGGCCCAGAGACTCACACTGCCCCAGGTGACCGAGGCACAAAGCTGCAGCAGAGAAGAAGCCTCGCTCCCCAGTTGCTAAAGCTTTGCTCTTGCTTTGTAACACAAGTCACCAAGGCTACCTCGGAAAACCAGCAGACAGGATCTAGCTCGGCCTGTGCCTGCCTCCCATGACTGCAGTTACAGGACTAGCCTAAAAAACACCCCAACAAAAAGCCAGCATGGTATCAGAGCACAGGTCTCAGCCAACGAAATGCACGCTGCCATTCGTCCAACGCAGGAGGCGACCCTCACTTTCAGGTCACACCTCTTCTCACAGTTTAGGGTCACGAGTTTCAACAAGTGTTTCACATGCAGAAGTTTCAAGGTTGGTTTACTGAGGAAAAAGGAGTTGTTGAACGTGGTGGTGATCTCCTCTTACAAGAATTACTGCTCTCCTACAAATGACACAGCTACAGCTTTCTCGGGCAGAGTCAATAGAGAAAGTTTCCTTCGATGGATGAAACAAACTTTTTCATCTGTTCTTCTCTGCACTGAGTACTTTGGAGAGTTTTCTATTCCACTCTAATTCCTCCAACGCCCTAAGATTTGTGTGACTCTCTTTTGTCTTTTTCTTTTTTAACAGTTGCTTTTGGCGTCCCTTCTACTTCCACTCTTCTTGCAGTAAATACAGTGGATATTGCACTGATATGCAACCCTGTCCTGACGGAAACAGCTGCTGACTCTACTGGATGCTCAGGTCCACGCAGAGGCATCCTAGGCTACCTGCAACACCACCTTTTTCGTGAACAAAGGAGATGCAAGTGTCTGGTCCACAAAGCAGGATCAAGAACAAGCTTCAGGGCAAGTTGAGACTGGCAGCCCAGTGTGTGCAACACAGCTCTAACTGTGATGGAGTAAACCTCCCCCTGCCCTTCATTCCTCATCTCCCTCCACCATACAGTGCAGAGGTGGAAGAAAAAAAAAATCTCCAGGTAGAGGATTAAGAATGAGATATATTTCCCAATAATGATTTCTCGTGCTTTTTGTCTTGAATAAACTGGCGAACCGTTACCCATTTTTATTGTGTGGGATGCTTAGGACTGCCAAGATAACTCCTGTACAGTGGTGAGGCTACTGCGCTTTCCTGTTTAACAGCACTGAGCCCCCCCATAAAGGCTCCATTCAGAGAGAAGCAGCCCCTCACTGGAAGGGGATGAAGGGACCACAATTTAGGGCCATTTAATTCCTGAAAGAGAGCCTCTATGCTGGGATCCAATGTCCTTTAATTTAGCCACATTAGCCTCCTACCATTGTTGTATTCATCTCAACTTTCCTGTAAATTCCCCTGGAGAAGGGCCCTTAATGAAGAAATCATCTACCTTAGGGCTATGTAAATGGCTCATATTTACATCACTTTCTTAGCAACACATGCATGTCACACCTAAAACACTGTATTTCCCCCAAACGGAGAAAACGTGCTGTGACAGGCACCGACACTGAAAGAGAGCTTTTAGGAGGCTGCTAATGGTGTATTTTTCCTGTCAGAACATGTTGTGTTTTATTTGTGAAGAAAATAATCAAACAACTTTGCACTAAAAATAAAAAAGACAGTTCTGCAATGAAAATAAAGTAAAAAATTAGTTTTCCTGTTTATCTAAAATGTTACCACAGAAAGCCTTATTGTGTGGTTAAATGACCTAATTACGCATGATTTCCAAAAAACCACAAAATGGTCAGCATTTTTTCTGCCTGAAAAATACCCACAGAATTTTAGTAAGAATGTCACACTACCAAGACATTTTTTACATCCAGACCGTTTAAATTAATGGTACAGCAGAATACATATGCACAAAAGAGAGAAGAAATAAATTGCTTTTACACCACTTAAAGTATCTGAGGACATTAAACTTTCTTGAATTAAAGTCTAGATTTATTGTTCTCATTTACTTGGCCCAGCAGTCCCAACTTAATGTATGAAACCAAGTGGGTCTCATTCCTTGCAAAGCACATGCATTTCCCACATCTAAAACAGCTGGCACAGATATGAATATTTGGGATCATATGGCTTAAGCTCAGTCCTGCTTCTCCAGCAGGAAACCATCTTTTACCCGAAGCAGAAGAATGACTGCTTTCCCGCCTGCTCCTATTCTGCATCCTTAGGACTAAAAGAAATGTGTTATTAACTCTGGCCACTGGACTGCAAGGAGCCTTAAATCACAAATGGGTATTAAACTTCTCTTACACGTTAGAAAATTTAGGAAAACAATGCTTACCAGAGAGGGAAGCTTAAAATGCACCAGTGATTCAGCACCCTGGATAAACTAAAATGTGCTCTAATGGCACAAAATACCACACTGAACAAATCCAGAGAAACCAAATCAGACCTCCAAGCTCAACTCTGATCTGATTTTGGTGGTGACTATAGAAATAATAGTAGAATAGTTAAATTTCAGATCGTCATTGCACCTCTAGGGTTTTACATGTAGCTGCTATCCTTATTTCTTAATTATTATTTTGAGCTAGAATTATTTCTTAGTTCACTTTCGGATACAACATGGCAAGGTTTCAACGCATTAAATATTGTGGAATCTTCATTATATCAGCTGATCTTTTGCCACCTCCAGCAGTTTTCTATAATCCTTGAAAGACTCCGCTACTGCTGACTTCCCTTTCTCAACTTAGGCAAAAGACCAATTCTAAATACAGAACATATTTCTGAGGCCAGAAACATTTTGACGGCATATTATGAGAAAGAGTCATATTTAAGATCGAGGGTAATCGACACTCAAAGTTAACAAAAGAATGACAATTGCTTTGAAACACTACGTACATTGACACTAACACTTCTAAAAAAAAATATTAATTGGACTGAACCAAGGTGAACAGAAGAGATTCTCAACTGGCTAAAACAGTAAGGCACCAATTTTAAAAGTGAATTTAATCATAGAGTCTAGAATGAAAAAATGCTGCAGATATCAAGAAGAGACTTGTTTCCTGCTAACTCTGCATTAGTACAGTGTTTTGCTTATTGCTTGGACACACCTATACAACAAACATTCATATCTGCTAGACAAAGGCAAAACCAATTCCAGTTCAAATAGCATTAAACAAATAGTACTTCGCAGTATGGAAATATTTGATGGTTTCATTTTTTTTAAAAGCAAAACCAAGCATAGTTCTTCCTGTTGCTGCCAAATAATTGAAGATTTTTTTTCACGTTACATTTACATTGTCTTTAAAGTAAATCCACTTTAGCACTCTAAGAAGTAGAACTGCACAGCGAGACAGCTCTGCAGCCCTGGTCTGCACAGCTCCCGTGCACCTCGTTCTGGAGGCGTTGGGGACCAGATCCTCGCAGCACTGGTCGGCACAAGGCAGCCGCACCAGACACATCCATGGCCACCATCGCCACCCCTCTTCCCATGTGAGCAGAGCGGCTGCCCGGCCAGTCCCTCATGCCGGGCCCTCCAGCACGAGGGCTGTGCCCGCTGGGACCGGAGAAGTCCCCTCACCGTCGGCATCTCACCCACGGGGATTCCGGCACCGGGACAAAGTTGCTTATCCCTACCTCGCATGACTTGGCAGACCTGTCTGCCAGTTTGTCTTTTTTACTCTCACCCAACCAAAACACAACCATCTTCCTAACAAAACAAAAACAAACAAAAACCAACCAAACACACCAAACCCAAGGCAAACAACAACAACAAAATCACTCTGATTTAGGTATATTTCAGGTTTTATCCAACCAAGCATCTGCTTGATTGGATAAAAGAACCACTGAACAGAATCTGAAGCCAAAGCAAGGAGGTAAGGGAGCCTACAAGAAACCTGGCGAGGGACTTTTTTACAAGGGCAGGTAGTGACAGGACAAGGGGTAATGGTTGTAAACTGAAAGAGCGTAGACTTAGATGAGACGTAAGAAAGAAATTCTTCACTCTGAGGATGGTGCCGCACTGGCACAGGCTGCCCAGAGAAGCTGTGGCTGCCCCCTCCCTGGCAAGGTTCAAGGCCAGGTTGGACAGGGCTCTGAGCAACCTGGTCTGGTGGAAGGGTCCCTACCCATGGAAGAAGGGGTGGAACTGGCTGGTCTTTAAGGTCCCTTCCAACTCAACCATTCTATGATTTATTTTAGGCACATCACATTTCCTCACAGAAACCTGAATGAGATTCAAAAATACCATCCAGATTAGACAAAAACAAAAAAAAAACAAAAAACAAAAACAAAAGCCCATCAAAAGTTTTGTAGCAACCCCACCCTATAGGAACATTCATTTGAAGATCATACAGAGAGCCACACTTTAAACAAAGGCAAAGAAACATGCAAAACGTAACCAGTTCCTCACACCAATTTGCTTCCACTGGAACCTGTGTCTCCAGTCCCCAGAAACCACAATTCATGTGTATCATAATTCAAAATATTTTCATAAGCAACAGGTCCTACAAGACAATAATGAACAAAACCCCAGCATAGTGAGTTCTAAGTTTCTAACTTTCCCATTTATATACTACATTAACCAACTAATTCCTATGCAACCCAGTGAAATGAACAACTCGTAAATGGAAAGGCTTACTCCGTACCTACAGTACACTGAATTGTGCCAATGGCATCAGTGAGTGAACATAAAACAGTAAATTGGCGGTGGGGGGTTCCCCCCCCGCCTTTTCACCATACCCTGATGTTTTCCCATTCATTGTCTCATACTCATTTTGACAGACATCTGCAAGCACAGCTTTTTATAGCCACCGCTCTCTCTAATTCCCAACCATCACAGGCTAGTGCTTCTAACACCACAGCCTGCTGCGAGACACAGAGGGTTCCTCAGAGGCAGCTGCAACCCACAAAGGCCAGACAGTAAAATTCTCCCAAGGGCCACCCCAACAAGGCTCGCCACAGCCATGCCTGCGCCAGGGGAGCAGAGAGGGACACGCCACGAAGCAAAGGGAACTCTTGCAGACTAACCACTGCAATACGTCCGCATCAGGCTTCGGAACAGCACTCCAGCAGTCCAATGTTATCGCAATTTGACTAGTATTTGCATACCATGTTCTTAGACAAGCTAGGTAAAAATAGGGCAGAAAAATATCACATATCAGTGCTGCGTTCAGTATTAGTTTGTATACATTGAGTCCTCTGCATCGTCCTCAGCCACTGCCAGCTGGATGTAGTGGGGGCAGAAGGGTTCGAGGAGGGACAATAAAATATTTTTCCATTAGTCCCATTTGCTGCTAGTCCTACTCACACAGGCCGTACTACAGCAGTAACACACAGTAAAAACTGAATAAAGGAAACAAAGGGGGGGGGGGGGATAGCTAGCTTTACACATGGGTTCAAGGAAGTTTAGTAACCCTTGCTTTGAGTCAGCAAGGCAGGGGAAGATACAACTTAGTTTCCTGAAAAATCCTTGGAAATTCTTGTTTGTCTTAAAAACTAATTGAATAGTTCATGTCACTAAGAGTCACTAGTTTTGCATCAGCATTTATTAGTTTGTTAATAACAACTGTGCAGGATGCTCAGAGAGCATGTCCAGGAGAGGTACCGCTCAGTACATTGTCCAGCTTCCCATTCCCAGTCTTCCAGCAAGGGTACGGTATCCTCTCCTGTCCATTTCCCAGTATTTTCTATTAAGTCATGCTGTAAGAACTCATAACTTCTGGTAGCTTTGCAATTTAAACAAACTGGATAAATACAGTTACCCTATTTTTGTCTTCAGGCTGCACACACATTCTGTACGATATATACACACACACTCTGCTGGAACACAGCAAGCTACTGAGATCAGGTTTGGATTCTTTTTAAACAGAGTAAAAAAAAAAAAAAAAATCTGTCTTTTGCTTCACTTAAGAGAGTTCTCTACTCAGCTCTTAAAAAAAAAAAAAAAAAGGAGAGAGAAAAATCAACTCTTTTGACCTGGCTTCATTTTCCCACTCACACTCACAGGCCAAGCTGCATTGGAAACCTGGCTAGTCAAAACAATAGTAAAACACAGTACTATAAATCTGTAACAAACAGTAGGATAAATTAATTGAAGAAGCAAAGACGTACTCATAAAATTTGACAAGTACTTGATCTGCACAGCCTCTGTTTAACTCGCCTGTTAGGCTATTTTAAAAAGTGAAAGTTCTATTTTAAGACTGTCAGTATCAGTCTGTATCCTTTAAAACACCATTTAATCCCAATTACGAGTAAACATCAAACATCCCACCTACAATAAAACAAGAAAAATTTTAATGCGAAAACAATCAAGAACTTAAAACAATCAAGAACTTAAAGTAGTCCTAAGGAATCCATTAAAGTTTTTCAGGTTTGTTTTTGTTTAAAGGAAATGGTGCAAAATGTCCTTGCAATCCCAACGTTCCCAAGATTGCAATCTGAAGGCCTCCTTAGATGCCATGCCTTAAAAGGCAAAAAGAGTCTAGACATACTGGTAAAACAGGACATTAAAAAAATAGACGTAGGCCAGAACATTTAAGAGCGCTGCCAGCTGCACCGGGGAATGCATGAAACCTTCAAGACCATCTTGCTGTTCTGACACTCTTAGAAGCACTCTCTCATCCAAAATAGAAAAAAGCCCACAAACTTTCATTGCATAACTGCAAATCCACCTACTTTTATAACTCAAGAACAGATCTGCCTAAAGACTGCAAACAAGCTTGGCACACTACAAACAGAGGACTATAAAATGTGGCTAACAACACAAACGCCCTAAGACTCTGGCAACAATGCCTTCGCCTTCTCGGTCACCATTCTTACTGTACTGCACCGTGAACCAAACACATGGAACATCCCGAAGACTCCAGACACAACCCTGTAATTCTGGAAGAGTGCTTTTCCCAAAACACTTTAAAAATGTTACTAAGTAATAACACAGCATATAAAATTAAAAGGTCCCAATGTTTAATAAAAGGTTTCATCTACATTAGATAAAAAGTTTCCAAGCATTAAATGCAACTACTAGTTTCTTTAAGAAGAGTTTATGATCAAAAAACTAATTAATTTATTCACGATATTCACGTGGCAATACCAGTTACTAGCATGAAAATAATTTCATAAGACAGAAGTTACTGAAGGTTATTAAAGACTTGTAGAACTTCAGTATTTCATAATATTCACAACCATGCTTGTTGCTTTCTTGCATGAACATTTCAGTTTAAAATGTACTGAAGTACAGAAAATTACTAATATGGAAATGCTTGTAGTTGATTCATAAACTAATTTCGAAAAAAGTTGCCAGAACTGTTACGAGTAGTGCTGTTTCACTGGCAGATTTACAGCATTCGAAAATAACAACATTTAGCTGAAGTGAAAGATCAAAACATGAAAAGTTACTCTGCTTACCTCAAGCCACATTTCAGGCATTATGCCATTCTAGTGACATACTGCAGCACACATTTCATCCTGGACATCTACTAAATAAAGCAATGCTTGAGACCTGGCACTGTAAAGACTGCATTACCTGATTGATGCTGCTGAATACTGCGTGGGTTTCTCAGTCCAGGTGAGTGCTACGCCAGCTCTAAGCCCTCTTTGCCCACAGTCAGTAACATTTTTGACTCATCTTTCCTCAACTCGTGGCTGTACATTCTTACACCTATTCTACATCAGGTTGGTCTTATCCCGCCTTTGCTGTCCTCCTCCCATATTCTGAAGAGTTGATGGTTCAAGTTCCAGAGAAACCTAAACATTACTTGCATGTTTTGGAAGCAACTGACTACACAAATTATCTGAGAGTTAGGTGAATTATTTAAAAAAAAACACAAACAAACAAACAAAAAAACAGACTGTATTTTTTAATCCAGCTCTAATCTAGAAGCAGTGACTACTACCACTATGGAGTAACAGCAGTTGACCCACTGTTCAGATGCCTATTTGTTGTGCATCTAGTTCTCCTTGTGTACAAAATTTCAGTACAAAATTATCTGTGGAGGTCTAGAATCAAAGCAAGTATTTCTGAAATGCAATTCTGAGCACAGGATGATGATGATGATATCAAAAAGTGTGCAAGTTGATTTGACAAAATGATGCATTAGCTCGCATCAGAAGTAACAGATTCCCACTGTACTTATTATGTGAGAAGAAAAACACAACTTCTTAACTTTCTAGTCCTTCTCCTTGTCTTTTCATCTTAAGATGATAATTAGATTACTAGGGAGGCTCATTGACAAAAGACATTACCAAAAAAATTACAAGAAAAGAAGGTAGCTTTCCAAGTAATAATAATACCATTAGAACTACATTTCTTACTGTAGCATCTACAATTAGTATAATGTACCTATTACTATTACACTGGTTCATAATGGGAGGGGAAAAAATAGAGCATACTTATTACAGAGATTATAGAAATATTTTCTGAAAGCAGAATTTAAAACTATCCCCCATCTAGAGAGAAATTTCTGACAGGAATTTGGAGTTTACTGACAGTAGGACACCAGCCCATGGCCAGATGGTAGCTAAGAGAC